TTTGTAACTCATTTTCATTAATGTAATACCAAATTGTTCAATAAAGACCGAGGCCAGGCCTCACTCTTAAAATAAAATAAAAAAAAAAATAAAGTGTAATTAAGAGTCCTATTAATTTATTTACTTTTATATTATAGAATGTTGGCAGCATAATTCAAATCAATGTCCAACTATCCATCATATTTTTGATGACTTGAACAATATTAATTATAATAACATAATTAGTAATAAAGAAATTTTCACAGAGAGTAATAAGAATGTGAAGAATAATAATAAATTAGTACCAACAAAGAAAAAGTTAAATACAGCAAATTTACTCAAAAATTATATTAATTTATATAATGAAAAAAAAAGAATTAGAATTAATTTATTCAATAATTACATTTTTAAAAAAAACCCTGAATAGTAAAAATAGCATAATTAATCATCAAAATAACATTTTAAATTTAACAAGTTCATTACCTAATTTACATATCGACATAAAAATTCTATTTTGAAAAAAAAGTGGTGGTGATATTTCATGTTCTGTTCCTATGTGTAGACCACCGAGCGTTTATGTCATTCGGTGATATGCAAAGAGAAAAAGAGAGGAAGAGAAAATTACGGAAAGGTTATAAAGGTGGATAGATGACTAGTTAGCACAAATAAATAATGAACCGAATTTTTTTTATAATTTAAATGAATTTTTACGACCTAACATAATATGCAAAGTTGTACGAAAAATACAAAAGTTTTACAATAAATCAAGAAAAAATATGTGAACAATTATGTTAATCTTTATATAAAATTAATTCTTAAGCATTACAATAATTACAACAGGTAATATTTTGCATGCATCATTAGTTTTTATAATAATAATAATAATAATAATAATAATAATAATAATAATAATGCAGTCAAACCTCTCTATAATCACACCCTTGGTTTAAAGAATTTGGTGCTTATAGAGTTTGTGCTTATATAGAGGTTAAATTTTATAAGTTTTATATAAGTTGGTTTTAAAAATTTATGTGATTATAAGCAAATGAGACTATAGAGGAGGTGACTATAGAGAGGTCTGACTGTAATCATTATCAATGTCATCATAAATGAACAATGCTTTTAAAAATTGCTCAAGGGGGGAAATATTGAGGAAAAGATCTTAATTAATTACTGTAAGTTTTCTTTTTAAAAAACTACAGTAATCCTTTTCTTCGGCATGCCTTAAATTTGTGTTACAAAAGGTTTGTGTTCCGGTCTTGATGTTATTCGCGTCTTCCACAGCGTTGCCGAGAAAATAACATAAAAGGATCTTTGATGATTACAAACAAAAACATTACAGATAATTTCAACAAATTAGGTTTGCATGAAATTTAACTAAATTGACGTTGACATTATTCTAAAATAAATATTCATAGCAAATCTTTTAGCAAACTCATCCTTTTGATTTACACGGTTCATTTCATTGGATTCATAAAGAAATACCTACTTTAATTGCTAATATTTTAGACACGCGAAGAAAAAGGGAAATCTTAGAACTTATACAAGTCACTTTGACGAAAGCCCGTTCATGAGATTATCTTCCCTTACTGTGAACTGGAAATTATTTTTAATGCATTTCAATTAATGCTGTTTGGAATATTTTGTATAATCATATGCACTCCGTTTTATACAAACAAGGCTTTGACAATCTCGATATATTCAGAATTGAATGAAAATATTCAATAAAGTAGTACTGGATGGCAGTGACGTTATTCTCTTTAAACTTTTTTTCTAGACATTTAGTTTTTTAGTTTCACAATATTTAAGTTATTTGATATGATATTCAAAATGCATAGAATGTGTCGTTCGCCATTAAGATATACCATTAAGGTATATAATCAAGGTTTCTATGAGATATTACGTATTCAGAATTTATAATATTGGCTTTATACCTTGAACCGTAATCGAGCCAAGTTTTATTAATAAGTTTTATCACGTTAAATATACTGGCCAAGAATATTGAGGTAAACTTTGTTCAAACTATCTTCAAAAAGGTGATATGTAAAAAAAAAATATATGAAAGAACAATTACAGACATCATAGAATCCTAAATATGAGTTCGATTCTTCACTAATTAAATTAATAAACTTGCTACATAAATATTAAAATATAGATTTAAGCGATTAATTTTCTTAATTCTATGATTGTAACTATAATAGTTAATATATAAATATTAATAATATCAATATTTCTAATTTTCTCGCTAGAGCTAGAGTTAGATTTAGGAGGAGTGTCTGAAGTATTAGGCGAAGTTGGAGGGGGATTTGGACCGGTGTTATTGCATTCAATATCCCATGGGACTGCGAAATTAACTTTCGTTGACGCAGAGTTAAAATTCTTTATCGCCATAACATAATAAAATTGATTACTTGAACTATCATTTGCACTATTACATGGTAAATTTGTACAAAAACTGACAAGTGCAGGAAAATTGTTTCCAATGCTGGTTGGGTAGGTTTTAGTTTTATATGCCCACACGTAAATTTTAAATTGAGTGATGTTAGAACCTGGATATGGATCATTAATTGAAATGTCTTGAGTTGATCCACATTTATCGTCAAGAGAGGCTGAATTGTCTGCAAGTGTCAAATTACACTCTAAAATATAATATAAAATGTTATTATATTGGTTTTTTATAACTTTTATAATAGCATAAAATTAATCATAAAAATACTTGCGATGAGTAGACGATGCTGTATTAGACCAAGACCACCAAACACCATTTGCTGGAATGGAAACAGTTGCTGAATTCGCATTAGTCTTTGCTGCAAAATATTATTTAATAATATTAGTAAATAACATTTCATTAACCGATTTATTGTTGTTTTATTAAAAATTTGGATTTTTACCTATTTGTAGAATTAAAAAGAGTGCTAAAATAAAGAGATATTTCTTCATTTTATTTTTTTTTATTTTTTTCAAGTAAGAGTCTCTCCAATTTCGAGAATTTCGCGTGAAAGAAAATATATTAACAATAATATGACTATGATTTTATATCAATTAGGAAATGAAAGCCACCATAATAAATTCAGAGTTCAGAACAAGTTACACATAATAAATATTAATTTATTAAACTAGATTGTAACAGATTTTGTATTACCATGCTTCATTCCACATAATATACTCTGATAAAAGTATCGGTACTTATCACTCCCAGTAGTCTCAGTAGTCAGTAGTAATCCCAATAGTGTTGTGTATTTCGACTATCTCCTTGTACACTGGGTAGTCTTATACACCGGTCTCAACTCTTATACGCAAAAATACCAAAAATAGAAATGCATATAGATGTTCAAAGTTATCGTTGTAAAAGAATTTCATTTTATTACGATTAGTTTTAACATCAATTTCACAAATAAGATTCTAGAAATCCCGGTATTACAGTCGAAAATCGTGTAATGCGTAACATTGATGTTAATTAGTTTTGCATAAAGATAATCCCTTCATAAATAAAGAGGTGTTACACTTATTCTCGTTATTGGTTAATTATTCGATAATTAACTTATTATACGTATTATTTTAATTCAAAATTTTCATGATACGTAGATGTTTATACTTCTTAAAAAGTACTCAACTCTATAAATACAACAAATAATTGATAACCTGAGATTCATTAATACTGTAATATCCATTTGGTTTAAAGTATGTGTCACACCCATACTAACCTTCTGTAATTTTTTCTTTTTAAAATAATGTAAAATAAATGATTATCCCTGCTCCTTCTACCTTATCTTCTATTTTTTTATTCTATATGGATCGGAATCGCCTAAAAAGTTTTATAATCTTTTAACCATGTTAACTGTGTTAACCGTTTAATTAAGCCAGTATTGAAATAATCATGGCCCACGACTAAAATAATTTTTAAGTGGTTAAACGATTCAATCCTTATTATTTTAAATTTCCTTTTATCATTATAACTCATGATGGATATGTTTCTTTGTCAAAAACATCTATAAAAACAAGTGTACAAGTGTACATGGTTTACATGTAATTTAAGATACATACGTATGTAGTCTTATTAGGAATAATTATAATGGTTGTCATTATTGAATTTCCTATTAAGGTTATAAATAAAAATGTTACATATCTGGTTATGTGGCTTAAAAAAAAGAAATTTCCATGCTTATACTAATCAGATTTTGTACCACCTTTTCTTTACCATACATTACATTTTGTGTAATTTTTATCAAGTTTCTTTAAACCGGTTAACGTTAAGCTTGGTTTCTTTAATTTTTATATTTTTCATAACGATAAGAAATAGATATACTTGATATGTACATAGCACACTCTGAAATGACGTATCGATTGCTATACCCGCACATTCTGCCCGGCCCCGTAATATTTCTGATTAAATTTTTCACATTACGTCACCATAAAAATATTATCAGAATTGTCTGTCTCTAATAAAAGTTCGATTTTTGCATTAGTTTTCTGAAAATCTAGATGGGACCGATCGACAAAAGTTTCTCCACAATGTTTGGTCTCCATCTAAATTACTTAGAGACCGTTATAGAAAATAACTTTTCTATAAGTTTACTTATTGAACAATTTTCTGTAAATCTTGCTCAAAGTCAGCTGATAATTACCGCGAGACTGATTAACAACACTTCACTGACAATCACCGACTGGCAGTTCATTTCACTGACAATCACCGACTGGCAGTTCATTTCACTGACAATCACCGACTGGCAGTTCATTTCACTGACAATCACCGAGAGTGATGAAATCACGAAGTGTATGGCTTATCAGATGTTAATCCACAAAATCTAATCTCCGATTGGACAACATGACCTAATCCATCACATATCTTCTAATCATTACTGTATGCTCGATTGAGCTGAAATCAAATTAGAGATCGATGATTGAATCTTTTTATTTTGAAGCTGTCCACTTCTCTTATTAAATATAAAACCAAGTGTCACCGTTCCTGGTTTTAGCGCGACTGCGTCGCGGAGTTACCTAATTCAATAATGATGTTATTGGATAGTTATCGTTATTATGACCATGTGAAGTTTTTTCATCATGGAAAAAACTTCACATCATCATATGAAATGTCGAATAATAGTATTTATTAATCATTAATCGGAAATCGATATTTTCCTAGTATCGGCACCAAAATCAGGTACGTACGTACCTAAACACGGCTCAAAATTCAACTGACCATTAGCATAAGACTTACGAAATCACGAGATTATCAATAACATATTTTTCTCTATTTATTCGAATTATTCGGTCGAGAACTTATTTGGTTATTGTCTCAAATTTCAAATTCGATACTTAAAATATATTTACACAGAACATCAAATTTTTATTTATTTTTATTTATTTATTTATTTATTTATATAACACCATGTTATATAACATCTTATGTAATACGTATCTCAAAAATGTACTAAGTAAACAGGATCATCAGTTACTCTAATGCTAAGTAAAAATGTTCGGAATCCCAAAAACCTCATGAGACCTGAAATCAAACCTATCAGGATCTTATATATTTAAGGGTAGAGTACAATAAGTTTAAATTATATATAAATCTGATCAATTTTTTTTATATTTTAATTTACAAACAATTTTATTAGACTAGGTCTCAGGCCCGGGCGTTGCTCCGGGAATAGATCTTAATTAATTTAGGTCTTTATTTTAAAAATAAATTTTAACTAAATAAATTTTAACTAAATTAAGTTTTAGATCTAAGTATTATTGCTAAAATTAATCTTACTTATCTAAATTTTAGCTCAAATGTTGCTTTAAAAGTAGATTTTAATTAATCTAAATCTTAGTCTGAATGTTGCTTTAAAAATAAATTTTAATTAATCTAAATATTAGCTTAAATATTATTTTAAAAATAGTATTTAATTAATTATAAAATTTAGTTATAATATTTATTTATTTAATGATAAAATTTAGTTATAATAATTTATTTAATAGTTTATTAAAATATTAAATTAATATAATATTATTAAATATTATAATATCATGTGACTTGATTTTTGTGTAACTTATTGGATTTTCTTAAAAATTCAAAATGTCAATTTTCTAAAAAATTCTAGATTATGTGATCTTATTATTTAATTATATGTATTATGCAGTACAATATAAGTTATACATATATACAACTAGTAAGGTATATTTTTATGTTCTGAATTATGAGATATATTCTAATTATAAATTACATAAATCAACAATTCTGCTAAATGGAATTCAGAATTGTTAAGTTTGTAATATTATAATTTTAATGCAAAAATTAAAATTCATATAATGATTAAAATATAATTTGCTATATAAATTATAAATTTTTGTATAAGTGTAATGCACAAAGCATAATATACCTTTTTAGAATAAATTATTTTTATATATTTAAATAAAGTTATAAAGTAATTCTTCTGATTCTAATAATAATAAAATTATTAAAATTAATTAAAAATTTATTAAGTTATGAATATTTAAAAATTTAATACAAAAATTTATATATATAATAAATTACATGAATTAGTTAATCAAAATTGAATATTTTGTATTAACTTAAATTTTTAATTTATCTCAGAAAATTTTATGATATATAAAAGTAAATATTTTTTAAATAATATAGATATTAAAGCTTTACAAATATAAAGATTTATAATTAAATACTAAGTCTATTAAGACAAAAAAAGTAAAGAATTTTAAATAATACACTGATCAAAAAATGAACAACAAAAACTAAAATAATTTATAAAACCTAAAATCAGTAAACTTTATAACAAATATAAATAATAAACAAATCTAAGAAGAAACAAACAAGATAGAAGATATAAAAAAAAAATAAAATAAAAAAAATCTTAGAGAATAAATACAAAAAAACAGTAACAAGAAGAAGAACAACAGTTAATAAAAGAAAAATTAAAGCTTTATAAGACAACAGAACTAACTAAAAATATCAATTATATAGAAAAGATAAATTAGTTAGATATAGAAATAATGAAACTAATATTTGCAATAATACTCTCTAAGATAGATAAAAAAAGTATAAATAAAACAAAAGTAAAAAATAAGAAATTTATGAAGTATCATTAGAAAATATACTCAAAGATAACACAAAAGCTTATAAAAAAAAACTCAAAAAGAAATCTGAAAACAAAAAAAAGAAAAAAACAAGTATTATAATTCTAAAACCAAATTTTAGCAATATTATTAGAGAATAGCTTGTAGTTACTAAAGAATAAAATATATAATCAAAATAATTCATTTAAAGCAAACATTTCAGATTACAATCTACTAGAAAAAAACAAAATTAATAGAGTAAATTATATAAAATAAATACTAAGAGACAAGTATATTAAATTAATTAAAGACAAATTCAAAAAAGAAAATAATTTAGTAATATTAATTTTGATTGTAAATTTAGTAGAGTTGTAACAATTGAGAAAATTAAAAGAAAAGAAAATATTAGTTAGTTATTATTTTAGAAAAAAAAGAAAAAGGTTTTGTAAAATAAATTACAAAAAAACTAAAAAATATAAAAAAAAATAAATAAGTCTATTTGGACAACATGAAAGATGAAAATTCAAATAAAAAAGAAAAAAGAAACCTAAAAAGATATAAAATTTTATAATCTGAGATTTTTTTCTAGATATGAATAAAAAAAATAAGATATATATGCAAAAATTTTTACAATCTATACAAAATATAAGTCAAAAGAACAAAATATAAGACATTAGTAATAATTAAAGTTAACTTTAAAGAAAAAGAAAAATTATCCTGATCTTTATTATTAGGAAAC